GATACCAGAGATTTATACTACTGCTACGAGTTTAACAATTTTCATATTACTTTCTAACAGATAGTTTTTTTCTCTCTCCAAGCCGCCACGAGAGCTCTCGGGCCAACAAACAAAACTGATAGGGCGCGTGATATTAAAATGGTTTACGAGCGGCAGCCAAAATAGTAGGAAAAGGTCCGCATATAAGCAGAGCAGCCTATGAATGGTACATTTGGTAATAAATACGCATAACCAGTGTTATTTAGTACGAATGCAGCAGCCTATAAAAACTCTCCGCCAGAAGTCGCTATCTTTCACGTTTTCATTTTTCTGTCAAAAAAACAAAAGGAAGAAAAGTCCAAACCCTCATGCCTCGATATTTGGGCAATGCCAAATCAAGAATACCAGGTGTGAACCGTACCCTGTGGTCTGTACCATATGGCGTATACATTGACTGGTACGTCCCTGAATTTTTGGTTCCACTAGCCTCGATGACATGAAATAACAATGAAGTGAAGATCCGACCATCTACTCTGTTTCTGTTTTCTCGATCCCTCGGTGGAAAATGTCTTCCGTTGCTAAGAGGTGGCGATTATATTAGTGTATATGGTTTAAAATGTTTTTTTATTTAAAAATATATTAAAATAATTTTTTAAATATTAATATATTAAAAAGATATAAAAATATTAAAAATTAAATTTTAAATAAAGAATATTTTTTTAACCGCGATACTAATTACCAAGTTAAAATAAATCAACGGTGGACAACTTAAGAATACGTGAAGGGAGATGAGATGATACATCCAAAATTAGTTAGGAGGCCAAGTTGTCACGCCAACACTTTCTTGAGCAAGATTTAGGTCGACGCAACCATTTAGGTGGTGTCTAAGTGATAAGGACTTGGGATTAAGGGGTTTGTTCCTTCTGTGGTCTCGGGTTCGAGTCCTTGGTTGCTCATATGATGGTCACTGGAGGCTTACATGGTCGTTAACTTTAGGACCCGTGGGATTAGTCGTGGTGAGCGCAAGCTGGCCTGGACACCCACATTAATCTAAAAAAAAAAAAGATTTAGGTCGACGACATTCCAGTGCTTGGCCTAGCATTGGAAGGGACTTATTTTTTTTCACTGCACCTGGGTTCGAGCCCTGGCGTGCACGCCTGTCACCCCCGTGGTGCTTTACATGCCTACTGGGTTTGCAGGGTATTCAGTGGGCCGTGGGGATTAGTCGTAGTGCGCGCAAGCTGGCTCAGACACCCCACATAAATAAAATAAAAAAAATTTAGGTCAACGGCTAAATACAGACGCTTCTAATGATGTATAGTTAATAAACTAGTGCAATATATATATATATATATATATTTGTGTGTGTTTAAATGAAAGTTCAACCTTCGATTTTAATTGTTACTAGAATTGGTATTCGTGTTTCATTGCTGAACAGACTAATTTTTTGAAGCAAAAAATTATATTCAACTATTGTATACGTGTTTTTTTTTTAAAGAAAACCAAACGACTTACTTGATTGAATTGAATAAACTCATTCAATAAATTAACTTTAAATCAAAAATTGTATTCAACTATTATAAATGTATTTTTTAAAAAAACAAACTGCTCACTTAACTAAATTGAATAATCTAATTTTAATTAACTTGCCAAGAAGATTAAGATGATAACAAGCAATAAAGATGAGAAATATGGTTCATTTTTAGATAAATTCTGTACTAAGCATGATATAATCCATTAAACTATGACTCATTATTTACCACAATAATATGATATTGTTAAATAAAAAACTTCTCATTATTTACCACAATAATATGATATTATTAAATAAAAAACTTGAACATTAGAAAAAATAATGAATGTCATATTAATAAGTTTAAAATTATCTCAGAACTTGTAAAAAAGTTGAACATTAAAAAAAATAATGAATGTCATATTGATAAGTTTAAAATTATCTCAGAACTTGTGAAAAAAATTATTTTTTTAGCAAATTACATTCTGAATAAAATATCTCATAAAGATTTTGACAAGACATCTTATAAATTATGAAAGAGTCAAACACCATCCTATAAATATATAAAAGTATAAAGATGTATAATTAAAGTTATGATTCCTCCACCAAAAAAGATCAAAATAAAACCTAAAATTATTGATTATATATCCATAGGATATACTAATAACAGTGCTGCTTACCAGTTTTTTATGTATAAGTTAAATATTTTTTATATCTAAATTAGTATAATTATTGAATCTAGGAATGCATTATTTTTTAAGAATGTGTTTCCTAAGAAAGCTAATGAATTTATTAGTAGTGACGCTTAAGATATTAAAAAGAAAGTGGAATTTAGAAGAAGTACAAGGCTAAAATATCTAAAAAAATTTATCTTTAATTTCTAACTTATTTGTTATAAAATGAACATCACAACTTTAAAAAAGCAATATTAACTCCAAAAACACCACTTTAAAAGGAGGTAAAAAGTAATGAGATAGAATCCATCATGCAAAATCATACGTGGGAATCGATGGATCTTCCTTTAGAAAATAAACCATTAGGATACAAATGAATAATTAAAAAAAATAGATAAAAGTTGATGGATCTATTAATAAATTAGAACCAGACTCATAATAAAAAGTATATGCAAAAGGAAGATTTTGAATACTTTGATACACATTCACCACTTATGAAAATAATATTTATTCATGTTTAAATTGTTATAGTTGTCCTTAACAATCTTGAGACACACCAAATGGATATTAAAATTGTTTTTCTGAATGAATACTTAGATAAAAAAATCTATATCAAACAACTTAAAGGATTTAAGATTTTATTATATGAAAGAAATGTGTGTAGTTTGTTAAATTTTTGTATGATTTGAAATAAGCACCAAGATTATAACATGAGAAATTTAACAACATAATGTTGTCAAATAGTTTTAAATTAATGAATGTGATAAATGTGTTTATATGAAAACCACAAATACAACATGTAATAATTTATCCATATGTAGATGATATATTAATACTTAGTGGTAATATAAATATTTTTAAGATTACTAAGAAAATATTGACTAATAAATTTAACTTGAAAAATATAAGTGAAGCGAATGTGATTTTAAGAAAGGAATTTTTAAAACATATGATGACATAATATTATTTCAATATTATTACATTGAGAAGATTCTTTATAAATTTGATAAGAATAAAAATAATATAGCTAAGATACTGATTGATGTAAACCTATATTTATCCAAACATATTGGTGATGCAATATCTTAAATAAAACTTTCATGAATCATTGAAAGTTTTATATTTTTTATGAAATACATAACATATGCAGTTAACAAAATGAGTAAATATACAAGTAATCCTTGTAAGGATCATTATAAGACCATTATAAGGGTTTTCAAATATCTAACATATACCCTAACATACGAATTATATTACATAATGTATTCAGTTATACTTGAAAGGTATAACGATGGTAACTGAATATACAATACAAAAGACTCAAAACCCATAAGTATATTTATCTATACTATTAGAGTAACTGCAGTCTCTTGTAAATCCTCTAAACAAACTTATATAGTCAAATCTAGTGAATTTATAACTTTAAACAAAGCTGATGAAAAGGCAAGGTGGCTTTGGAATTTTTTGGAAGATATTCCGAGCTGGCATAAACTTGTGCTAGTTATATGTAATGTGATAGCTAACCTGTAATTGGTAAGATATACAATAGAATATATAATGGTAAGTCTCAACATATACTTTGAAGACACAATATTATAAGACAATTTCTCTTAAATTAGATTATCTTTATTGACCATATAAAATCAAAGGATAACATTGCGGATTCGTTTACCAAAAACTTAACAAGAATAGCAAGTCGAAAAATAATCAAGAAAAATAGGGTTAAAGCCTATATTCAAAGAATTGCCATGATGAAAACCCAACCTAGTTAACTAGAGATCCCAAGATCTAGATTTAAAGGGATAGCTAAATCATGTTTCAATCTACTAATTTCAATTTTATTTATTCCTACGAAGAAAAGTGCTACATATAGTGAAAACCAGTATAAACTAAGTTTTTAATGATTCTTACTGTTTGAGAAATTCAAGTAGATGTATTACAAGATACTTTTAATAAGAGTTACCTATGAAAGTCTGAAATAAAGCTACTTATATGAGAATTAGACAAAAAACTTAAATTTTTCAAAGCACCTTTTGAAACCATGATATGTTTTGGCCTAAAATGAACACAACTATGAAAATTTAAATTGTAAGAAAATAAATTGTGTGATTTTTGTTATCTGGGTCTACATAAAAGATTGAACAGTTCAAGATGTCATATTCATTAATTAGCCGAGTAAATCTAATAGTTTTTCATTAAAAAATGTTTAAGATTAAAAGTTACCTTCTCTGATAACTTTTTGTTGTTACTTTTAAATTTATGTGTTAACTTTATATTTTATTTTAATCAAATAATTTTTATTTATGCCGAGGATTATTAGGGTGAATGAGAAGTTACATTTGTATTCTTCTAAAACAGAGTAACATTAATTTAACTATACCATTGTAAAGATATATTTGTTTATGTTAAGTAAAAGTAACGTTAATTTAACTATCAGAAATCATCCATATAAAAAAAAACTCTAACATAGTTTAAAAAACTTCTAATTTTCTATAACTCCTCCCTTTTACATTTTTCCTATCAAAATCCCTCTACTTCTTTCTTACAAAGAGTAACGTTCAAGTCTTGGGTTCGCTTTCTCGGTTGTGCTGCTAAAAATAAAAGATTAAGTATAAGAAACAATATTGCAATGACACTGCTATCACTAAAGAGCAATCAATAAATTGTTTTAAGTTCAAATAATTGATCGTTACCTCATTTTACTTCCTTAAATTTATTTTAATTCAACAAATACTGTAAATTATTTTTTTATATGTAAGTTAATATGCATTTTTTATATTTTGCAGAAGCTAGATCATGGTAACTACAAAAATTTGATTCCAACATTGCTTGGCTACAACAAATCAAACCGCTTTATACAAGTACAATTATATTAGCCACGGAAACATTTTTCCAAGAATCTCTCAAGTTTCTACACACAACCCAAAATATGTTCGAGCTTTCAAGAAACACATGTAGTCTGATCATTCTATGATTCCAGAAGGGGTGAGTATCTTGAACAATATTTACACACCAGGAGGTTTTTCTAGTGAACCTGTCAACAACAATAAAGCTAGCGTTTCCTCTGTGCACTAGCTCTTTCCAATACAGGGTTTGCTGACTGAACAAATTAGGGCAATCTATCTGAATATTGACGCTAATTATCAAGCCAGGAGACGCTTCTGTGGATCAAACTCACTTTCCAGGTGATCACCATCACGGAAACCTTCTTTGCCTTTAGCCCATAGCACCAAGTATAGACCAGTGAACATGAGGAACATACCAGCAAGGCTGCAAATGAGAAGAATAAAAAACAGGATACTGAAAGGTGACGAAGTTATGTGTGCTTCTTGTCACATATAATTACTTCGTGATTCTCGCTAGCTTACCTTGCAAGGTTAAATCTGTCGCCTAAGGTAATAACAGAAAAAACAACTGAGATAACTGTTCCAATGGGGTTAAACACGGCCACATGAACTGGGCCCCTCTTCTTCATTGCCCATCCATTGAAGCTCACACATGCTCCACCAACAGCACCTCCCTGTGCATCCAAATGATTAGAAGCTTGTAAACAAGATTGATAGACTGCAGAAGGTGTTGAAGAAACAACATAAAATTAAAGGGAATTATTGAAATGATTTAACTCCTCCATTCCTTATTAATGGTTTCAAGTAGCACAAGCAAATTAAAGTAGAAGAAAGTGGCTCTAATTAATAAAACGGAAATTTCCATTCTTGTGATAAAATTTAACAAATAATCTTGACATGTTAGAAGAGGGAAAATAATGTGAGATTACCAGTATAGAATAGCAAATGAGGGTCCCGAGTCTCATCAGGGGCCAGCCAACGTCCACTCTGTGGTTTAGAACCAATTCTACAATCGCAGTTATAATTACTCCAATCAATGATGTTATGGCACACAGGGATATAGGAGCAGGAAAATCACCCAAAGTAGTAGCCTGTACGTAACACATTGCAAAACTCAATTTGCGAGATTAAAATTATGCAGATTGTACATAATTAATTCCTTCACTGTTGATCTAAAACATTACCTGCAATACAACATTGCTTGATAGAACAAAAACCGCTGCTATGAGATATAAGCAACCGTTAATCTTATGTTTGTCGAAGCTCATATCTCCCGTGGGAGTACTTTCCGTGGACTTTGACTCTTTTGCTGATTCAGTGCTGCTCATTAGACTCATCATGAGGGCACCTACAACGCATAAAATGGTGCCTACAATCTTGACTTTGCTGTATACGCAACATAGCTTAACTTTCTCTAACCTGCACATAGCTAGTGATCAGATAAACAATCACTAGACAATAGCAGAAACACATTGAGAGGAAGGGGCACCAGATGCTTGGTATATATATTTATTATTTTCTCTATTTTTTTAGCTAGTAATCAGAAAAACAATCACTAGACAAAGTAACTGTCATTACTCAACTAGATTGGAGTGAAAGTAAATTTCTGTGGGCTTTTATGTTTTGTTAAAAGGAAATTCACGTTTTGAAATGCTAAAAAGGAAATTTGGAAATGATACCTTAATGTCCAAGCAATAATGAAAATAAGCCCTGGAGCAAGGTTCGGCATGGCTGTTGCCATTGCTGGTGAAGTTAACTTAATCCCCTTAAGGAATAAGGACTGAAACAGAGTAACCCTGAAAATGAAATAGGAAAGAAAGAAAACCATTTGAGTGCCCTGCTTAATGAATCAGTGTCTAGGCTTTTCTCCTTAGTTTGTTTCTCGGTCTGCTCTCTCCTCGCTCAAAAAAAAGTAAAAACCTCTACAAACGTTAATAGATACATCCATGGACAAAATGACAATAGAATGTCCAACATGAATCTTACAGAAACTAAAAAGAAAAAACATGCTAGGATTCGGGCACCCATAGCTCTCGAAAGATCAATATCTCTAACATCATCCAAAGTGGTAGAGAACGCTAGACCCCAAAATGATGTTTAATGTACTAGTTGGTAATGAGTGACGCATGAGTGGATGCACGTCAACAAATCTGCTGGTGACAGGGGCATCCAACATGTCCTGTGCA